GAATGAAGGAAATGAGCCCTGCTGCTGTGAAAAGAGGTTTGATCTCTCCTGCCATTACCATTCATACAGAATTGGCCTGAAAGATCCCAGTTCGAAGTCCAGGGTCTTCTGCATCTACATCTGCTCTACAGCAACTCACAGCTATTTACACAGAGAAGAAAACACACACCATGTAGAGTAATTGCCTTAAAAAAAAAAAAAAGAAAAAAAAAGAAAAAAAAAAGAAAAAAGTGGATAGGTCAGTGTAAAAAAGCTTGTTTTTTCCCCATATTTAAATTGATAATAAATTATGTAGAAATATATACTGTTGGAATAGAGAAATGTAATTATACATAGCATAGAGACAGATCATATCTGTGATTTTTATACAGCTATGCTATGCACAGCTCAAAATACACAGAGCATAAACACGTTATGTGCATTCACACGTTCATATTTTATATTTTTTCTATTCTCAGGTCTCCATTCCCAATTAAGCTCTATAAGCCCTATTAAAATTATGATTTTCTGGCCTACTGGCTTTTTCAGTTTGTTTCAATAAGGACTGACAATGAAGTTATGCAAATACAGTCACTTTTGCGCGTTGTGGAGATTCACATCACTTATAGCAAAATGAGAAAATCTTGCAAATGACTGAAATTTTTTCAAAGCACCATTTCCTGGGCAGAAGCCGTTTCACACTAGACAGCACAGTGGCTGTGCTTGCCTAACTCAGTTAAAACAAATAGAAAACAGCCAACAAGAGACAAGGTAGAAAATCCCTTTTAGGGGAGACTAGACACAGCGAACATTTCTCAGTGGAAGTGTTCATCAACAACAGCCACTCTTTTAAAGCCCTTAAGTGTTTGTAGGATGGAAAATTAATTTGTTTTCTAATTCCAATGTGAATCATATGCTCCAAACAGATTTTCAAGGCAATGAAACATGACCTTGTGTGATCTAATTAAACAACTCAAAGGTATTAGTTGTTTTAAGATCCCTCTGGATATACTTCAGTTCAAATGCGCACACATCATCTGTATGTACAAGCTCATAAATCTACAAAAAATGCAAATCAGATCATTAATGCTTTGAATTTGACAGTCTTGCCACAGTTTTCTAAAAGGTAAAACATGAAAAATCCCTGAATTATATATACTCTTTTTACAACTTAAAGAGCCCACAACCCCCTGCCCCCCCACCCCATACCGGAAAGCAAAACACCAAACATCTTTCTTTGACTTTTAAATATCTGATCCATAATCAGGTATAAAATAACAAATTATCTTAAACCTGCTATTACCATTTCTTGTCTGGATGATGTCCTGACCCTTTGAGCGGAGCACTGGACCACATGATAACCTTTGAAAGTCCTTTTCATCCTAAATTTTTCTATGGTTCTGTCTTAATTCTCTGTTTTGGGAATTGGCTCCAGTGCACATGACTGTTCAATTACAAAAAAGAACCCCAAACCCTAGGACTGGTTTTTTTCTAATTTGTATCCAGTTATTTGTCTTTGGAATTGGTTTACTTTCTCCACTCTCAGATCTCTGTGTAGACCTTATCTATGAGGTGCAGTCTTTCTTAGCATCCCTCAGATGTCCTATGTAGATTAATGGCCATATCCATACACTTTCTCTCCTCTTACTACTCATAAATGCCCATGTGTCTAACAACAGTGCTGTCTGAAATGCCAACACACGTATCTTTGGGGGTACCATTGATCTCTGTACTTTTATTTCCGTTTCCCCACTCACATTTTTCTCTACTTTTTCATATGTTTAGTCTCCAAAATCTTACCTACTCTTTCCTTTCCTAATGGTATCCTTCATAGATCATCTTTTTCCACTTTAACCTGTCACACCCTGTAATTGTGCTCTCCCTCCTCTCCTGTCTCATATCAACAACATGGCCAGAGCTACAACGTTTGTGCAGCCAGAAAACCCACTCAAGAAGGATCCTGCCTGGGAAACCTGGGCTGCCACCATCTCATTTTCTTCCTTACCTCCATCAGTCAAACGCAACAGCAGCTGCCTCTTTTACCTGTGTATAAAGCTGACTCTAGGAGTAGGGAAATGAAAGGAAAATGAGCGCCATGCAGGGACATATTTCTTCAACGAGCTTTTCCTTTACTCCAGATTCAGACCCTAATCCTACAATTGGATCCACATGGCTGGCTGTGTAAATTGAAATATGGGATGAAGGTGTAGGCTACAAGCAGCAGTTTTGCTGTGCTGCCCTTCTAGGACACGGCCCCTCGCCATTCCTAGGCTGCGTGTGCCTGACCTCTCGTGTGGCTTCGCCTACGGAGCAGGCTCTGGAAAGGGCTGGCTCATCCACTCAGGGGCTGAAGCCAAGCTGAACTCAGCCGGCTGTTTCCAATATTTATAAAATAAAATAAACACACCAGATCTCACTAAACAACTAATCACCTACAGCGTGTACATGATTTTCTTCTTTTTTTTTTTTTTTTTCCCCCTCAAATGAAAACTATTTTAGGTGTGACAAAACATGTGAAACAAGTGGAAAAACATTTCCAAGTACTTTTGCTCTCAGAAAACCTTTAATGATTGAAGAGATTAAGGGATTGGGGTTTTTTACTACTTTAAAAAAATCCATTTTTACTGAAAATTCAAACTAGTCTATGAAGCTTCAGGCCAGCAACATTTAAAAAGATTGAATTACAGTATGCCATTCTGAATGTAGCACGTTATGAATTCCATATCCCTCAACTAGAATGACATATTTAATGATTAAGCCAAGCCACTCAGCTTTATTTCTGTTCTAATTTTTTTTCCTAGCCAGTATTAACTTTATACATACATTTGAAATGGCGAGAGGAAAAATGGCAGAATAGTGAATTTGTCTGCAATAAAGGAATAACTAGCAAGGTCTTACGACTTCACAGAATTAGAGTTCTGTGTGAAAGGTATCATGTGCCAATTAGCCCTATGTTAACAAATGCTTATTATCCCACTTTTTAAAAGTATCCCATTTTCCATGTGCTCCAGCTCTGCCCTATATTCTGTTCTTCATTTTACACAGGCCTTTCCTGCTAAGACAGCAACAGAAATTGCCATACAAGATCAGATCACTGGTCACGTTAAATTCAGTATCGAATGTAAGCCAGTTCTTTACTGAATAAAAATAGGAGAAAAAAAAAATTCCATTTAAATACTCCTCACTTGCACTACACTGATATATATATAGGAGTAAAGCCTCCTTCCTGACCTCCATGGTGACTGATTTATGCCCAGAAGGATGGGTTTTAATTATGATGACACAGAGATGGTCAATTTATTTCCTTGCGCTTACTCACTCACGAACGTGCACTTCCTCCTTCCAGCAAGGAGTAATTATCTCTTTGAAATTATCTGCACAGATGTGGCAAAGTTAGAATTTTTGTCTGCTAAGACCTGGGGCCCTGAAGAATATGTGCCCTGCCAGATCTTTCCCCTGGCCTCAGGATTAATGAGACCCTCGAAAAGAGTTGTTTGCGCCTGGGGTAGGATTTTGTAACAGACATTTTCAAAACTGTAAAATACAGGTGGAGGGAGCCCTATTGCAAACTCTTTGTCTTCCATAAAGGATATTCTAAAGGGTGTGATACAATCTGAGTTTCTCTCCTGCTTGCATTTGACACCTGTATGTGTATAGATGCCTATCCTATACGTGCAGGTACAGGTTGACGTATCTACAGCTTAGTTGCTGGGAATTATTTCATTCAAGGAAGGAACAGAAACATGGGAAAAATAGAATTGGAAGAGACTGACATGCAGGTATTATTTGGACTATCTCTGTGTCTAAGGTAGGCTCATGTCTCACCGCACTTTTGCTTCTAGCCAATTTTTAAGGATGCAAAATAGACCTTATGGCTCCCAGCAAGCATCTTATATGAAGGCTTTTTTGTCTTATTATCAATAGAAATCCTAAAGTGTGACCTGGATGTTCTTCGAGCAGGCCAAACCTGTGACTTTTTCACTTGTTTACTGTGGTCTCAGGGAACAGCGTGCTCTCTTTTCTGCACTGAAAAACTGCTACTGTGTCCCATTTCCTCTGCTTGTCTTTCGACTGAACAGCTCTACTTTGTCAACCTCTCCTCAGCAGCCATGTCTTCGAGACCTGTGATAGTTCCTGAACTCTTCCCAGTTGTTCCAAATCCTCCTTGCAGTGCAGAACTAAAAGTGAACTCAGTGTTCCTGCCACGGTGTGACTGAGGCTTTGTAGACTGAAACTATTGTTCCCCCTGATTGCTGGTTATTCTGGCCTGAGGCTATAGAAACTGAGTGAGCCCTTCCAAAATTGAATGCAATATTTTTCAGGCCATTTCTCCAATTTCTTATGTTCACCTATAAAGGTCGTTTTTTCTTTAACACAATCAAAAGTTTCTCTGAACTCTGTTTTATCAGGTAACTTAATAAGCAAGCTTTCTATGCCAACATCCACACCTTTTATGAAAACACCAACCAGAGCAAACCCTGGATAATCCCAAACCATAACCAATGGAGCTTTCCAGTTTGATGGGGAACCTCTGACACTTACTTTCTGGGCAGCATTACACAATTTTTTTACCCACTTTATGGTGGTTTCATGTAGATTTTTCTCCTTGTTTTGTATATGGAAATGTTACTAAAGACTATATCAAACCCTTACTGTAATTAGAGTAGCTGCTCCTGACAGGTTTGTTCAAAAAACCCACCAGTGGTTCTGACACAGCTTCAGGCACTTGCTAAATTCCCTGCTAAGAAGTTCCTCTGCCTCAGAGTGCCATCAGCCCCACGTTGTCACCAAGCTGTAATAACATATGTCTATCCCCACCTGTTGACTGTTTTTATGTTCATAATCTTACCTCAGCCATATTATCAAGGTCATATTGCTAAAGGACTGACTATTACTGAGAGCCTCCAAATTTTTCTTCTTGTATTCAAAATAAAATGTGTATTCAACATCAAGCTGTAGCACAGGACATCTGATAAGCACTACTAATCAACATGAACTTTTTTTAAAGCTTCCTTGCTTACCTTTCAAAGCTTCTGGATGACACCCTTATCCCACGGCACTTGAATGTATTACAGAAAAAAATGCCTGTGCCACAGGCTGGAAGAAGCAGCAGTTTTCTGAGCATCTCCATTAAAGCAATTGTGAGCTGTAAATTAAAGGAATCCAAAATTGTATTCTGTGTATGAGTCTTTTCGGTCAACCTAAGATCAAATTTGACAGAAGGTCAGGAATTTCCTAATTAATTAATAAATGAGATAAGGAGAAAGAAGGAATTGATAAACATATGTGCCCAAAATAATGTCTGCTGCTAATTTTTTCACAGAAATAAGTAGTTAAATCTCATGCAGTTTATTTTCCTCTAATTAAATTTGGTCCAAATCAGAATGTCTTGTTCAAGATCTGAATAAAAAAAAATACTTCGGTAAATTACTTTTTTCCTGTCTTTAGCACACTAAAAAAATCTAGAGACATGGACTTCCAGTAGGTAAAGAGAGCAAATGGAACAAAAATATTTTATAAAATAAACACACTTCAGGTCTTTTCAATCTGCTTACTGAGATGTAGAGTTTCTCTGAATGACAGCGACCAGAGTTGATCTGGATTAACAAACCCTTTGAAAGAAAAAAAAGATCTTAAAAAACAACACCTTGTAGAACAACAAAAAGTGACAAATCAGTTTTGAATGTATCCTAAAAACATGCCTTTCTAGGAAACACAAAGTTTAGTGTGAGCACACTTGGAGAACATGCTGAAGAAGAATTTAAATAGGATACATATCTATTGTGTAAGCAGTTTAATGAGACTTACTTTAAGCCTCGTTGATCTGGCTTGGGCAAAATACACCATCAGACTACATCAGCAGGTACAGAAGTGGAGCAAGCTAATCCTGGAAAGGAAGCCTTTATACTAAGAACTGTTGTGAATTTTACAGAAACTTACTCTGTGGACTGCTTAAGTGCTTAACAATCTTTTCCTTTCGGAAATTTTCCTTGGCAAAAAGATGGTTGCCACTAGGATACAAGTTTACATCATTTTAATGACAATGTTTACAGGTAAATATTTACTGTCTGTGCATTTTTTGTGAAATTGTAAGTGCACTTAGACTGTATTGAATGTGTAGCATCTATCCAGGTTGCATGCTTGTGCCTGCTTGATATTTATTTAGTGTCAGGGAGCTGGAAAGGCAAAAGGCTGTAAACAGATTTCTAACCAAAGGTGTGTGTATAAAAAGTGTAATTTGGATAATACTTTCATAAGTGTTTAATCAAAATGAAAATTAGTGATGCTTAGCAGAATTATTCTTGAATAATTGCTTTTGTCATCTTGCTTCTGCAGGAAACCTTTTGTGCTAAATTTGAAACAGGGAGTTTAATTAAGAGGTTAACAGTTGGAAAATAGGCACCATATAGTAATAATGTGTAAATGAAAAAAGGAGACAGATGAGTGTTGCTGTAAAACTGACTCAAAGGAACTGTTTCATCTCCGTTTTGACTAAAACTTCACAGGCTGGAAAAGAAATCGTCTATAAAAATGTGATAAAGATATTCACAGTATCTGAAGTTTTAGGTCAGTGTGTAATATGTTTAGAAGAGAAAAGGCTGAATGACTCTACTTTACTTTTTGCTTTAAAAACACAAATATGCTTAGCTGAGCTAATGCATGTAACCACTGCAAAGAAACATCTACTTACATTTACTTTTGGTATGTCTTACATCTTTTGAAAATACTTTTTTTTTACATGCTAACTTCTCCAACCTGAGCTATTTGAACTGCTTATACAGTTCCATAAATATTGACTAATCCTTTTATCTAGAGTGCTTTCATCTTGAGTGACAGTGGTCTTTGCTCATACAGCAATTGGCAGATAACAAGCAATATCAACACTGCCTGCAAGAAGAGCTGATTTATTTATTTTTTATATGAAAAAATCACTTATTATTTGTCTTTTGGTGTGACCTAAATTTGGGTTTGTGCTAATCTTATTATGAAATAGTAAGCCTATATATGTAAATGTATACATTTGTGTATATATATATACAAAACCTGGTAAAAAAATTACTTTGTAGCATATTTTTAGTAACTTTACCTAAAAGATAAGCACTGAAATGCTTCTGAAATTGCAAGTATTTAAGTGGCTCTGTGAAAGTCACTTTGCATTTAATTATTTATTCATAATATTCATTTTTCGTAGTCTAGGAATACACTAACAATAATATGTGTACCTCCTCATAAAACCCATTTTATTTCTTTGTTGGACAGCGATTTTTTTTTTTGGTCAAATTTGTTATTTAAATTTAAAAATAGAAATATATATTATTTTCAAAAGAGTTTAGAATTCTCATTAAATAAATTCATTAATTTTATGTCTAATTTGATGAAGCGGAGAAGAACATAGACACTAAAACATTATTGTAAAGTTGGATTCATTTGTATCATCCTTTCCAGAGGCAAGTCACTATTGCAAAGTGTGACTCAGATCACAAGTAGCAAAGCAAAGGGGATGTCTGGCAGGTGCCATGGGATAATAAACTAATGCAGGGCGAGAGTCATCACACATTACTGAAAATGCAACAGCTAAGGACCTAGCCATTCACTATGCTGATTTGTTAATGAAAGGTTTAACAGGGCATCTCAGTCTGTAAATCCCTAAGCACAGCCTGTCCACTCTGAAGCTCTATGACAAGGCTAAGTACCACCCTGATCCAACTGCTTGTAGGCTGGACTAATTTTTGTCTCTGACACAAAAACCCAAAGAAACCAGCATTTCTACAGCCATCATATTAAGACTGACTCGTATAAAAGACCTGAGGACACGTTGTCCTCGACGTCAAAGCAGAGAAGGGAGCAATATCGGGCAGGAGATGCACTAAAACATTGACCAAAACATGAAACAGCTCACAGTAACTTCACTTTTCATACAGCAGAATAGCAAAAGCAGGACAAGTTGCTAACACTGAAATTGCCACAAACTGGACAAAGCAGACATTGTTCTGGCCTCCAGTCAGAACGGTTTGGGAAGTGCACTTCACTTTGAGAAAGTCAGAGCCAATGAGACATATTTCTGCCAGATGCCACTACACATTAAGGTATACATAGACATCTCACATTGGAATAAAGATGAGCCTGGCTGGAAAACAGAGAGAGACTGTTGATGTAAAACCTCACTGCCAGACCAGGGAGATAGCACTAGCTGTGTTTGATAATATGAAGCTTCAAGTGGAAAGTCTTCTAATTGAAGACTGGTGAGTGAGTGGATCATGCTTTTATGTACATGCAATGACCACTTCACTCTGGCTAATCTTTTAAACAAATCTCACCCAATTCTCACTTCCCTTCTGGCTCTCCTGTAACTTGCCACTCTCCAAGATGGGTCTAGTTACAACTGTGATTGAGTAAAATGGACAGGCAAGGAATTAGCCTGAGTAACTACACTTATCTACTGCTATTTGAAGCAATTCGTTGTGGCTGAATGCTGCTCTGTAATTTTCTATGAAAAATGGCTGTATTTTGCTGTAAAAATGAAGCTTGATGTGAATTTGTACGTAAATCTAGGTGTGGTGCCTGGCATACCTAGCTGCAACTCTGAGTCTCAGCATACCTTATTATCTGCTTTGTGGGCACCAGTTTTGATGTTGGGATGGATGAAATTTTATCTATTTACTTTGTGGTGATGATAGTAGTTTTAAAAATAACTGCAAAGTTTTTTTTTTTTTTTTTTTTTCTCCTCTAAAATAACTGTGAAGGGAAGTGGAAATATTAAGAGCTGCCCTTAGCATGAGTTATCAAAAAAGTATTTGGATATTTTGACTGCTTCCAAGGGAGATAAGAAACAGATTTTCCCTGACCCATTGCATACATATTGATTGCTTGATTGCTCCCTGGAGAAGTTACTGTAATTACCACTCTACAGATGAACAACAGTGCAGAGGGGTAAACAGATTAGTTTTACAAGAGGAACAGATTTGTTTTTCTTAGTGAAGTGTGATCCAGCAGACCTACTTAGGTCACATCTATCAAATTCCAGGGTAGTTGAGATGAGGAGCTCTCCTTTTACCAGATATACCAGAAGCCAAACATTATACAGAAGAAGAAATATGAGTCTGTATTGCCAATCTTCTGCAGAAGTGCTCTCATCACTGATCAAACTCTGAGACACTTGAAAAAAAATATCCCTTTCATCTTTTCTTACTTGATATTTTGTATAGAGGAGAGTTTAAAAAGCTCCACTGTAGACACACAGTACCGGGAATATTCTTCTTGGACACACAGGTTCCAACTCCTCTAACAGCTTTTCTCAGATCCTCACAACCCAAGTGAACTCTCCTCAAAGCAAGAGCACAGCTGACAGAGCAGAAGTCACTGATGTCTTGTATTTGGAAGAACTGAGACTGTGGGCCATTTGTTAGTAACTTCAGTACTCACCTAACCCTGAATTGTGGCTCCTGCCCACTCAATGAGGATGGGGGGCATCCCACTGCATCCTACCCAGGTCATCAGTAGATTTAAGCTCTTTGGATTTCTTATTAACATCTCTCTGCTCACTCTGGGAATTTTGTTCTTCAGATAGGCAGCTGGCTGTACACACGTTTACAGGCGTGTTCACACACTTTTCAGTCTGACCCACCATGTTATGGATCACTTGTAAGTCCCGTGACTCTCACTTCAAGATTGTTGCTCCAAGATGTTTCCTATGGGACCAGGAAATTACTAGTCTGTAATTTCTATACTGTTTGAATGAACATGAAAAAGCGGGAAAGACCAGCAGATCATACACCAGCTCATCAGCATATGATATCATGGATAGGAATTAGAGCAACAATTCTTGGTTTTTTGTATGTGATAAATAATTCAGTTCCTCACAAAGCATTCTAAATTTCTACCTCGGGAAATGTGGGAAACAACTTCTTGATTGCATCTGATGATGTCTATCTTAATTTTGTCACATTATCCACAGCAAAACTGTCCATTTGTTTGATTCTTTTCTCCAAAGTGTGATTATCAATAAAGTGTTTTTATAATACTCTGCACAAGGAAACCATGACAAATGAATGGTATTTTATATTTAACACATGTTATACTTGTCAGACAATCATCTGTTCTATCAAGGCATTCCCCTCTAATAAAAGATAATTTAATAAAACACACGTTATTAAAAGAGTTATTTTGGGCTCCAGTTATTCAAACCAGAACGCCTAATTCTTTGTTTATTCTCCAGGTACTCACTGTGATGAAGACGTCAATGAATGTTACATGAATCCTTGCCAAAATGGTGGAATCTGTGAGAATTTTCCTGGGAATTACACTTGCCATTGCCCACCTGCAGACAAAGAAGGAATTTTTTACGGTGGCTGGAACTGTACAGAAGTTCTTCACGGCTGTACTGATCATCAATGCCAAAACAATGGAATCTGCATCCCACATTTAAAAAATGGCCAACACGGATTCAGCTGCATATGCTCACCTGGGTATACTGGAATACGCTGTGAAACAACAACCACGTTTTCTTTTCAAGGAAACAGTTTCCTCTTGTTGAAGAATCCCCTGACTCATAAAAAGGATTTTTTCTACAACATAAACCTGAGGTTTCAAACTGTGCAGCCAACTGCTTTTCTGTTTTACCGAGGGGAGAAAAGCACATTTGCGAAGCTGGAGTTACTGAATGGCTACTTACACCTATCCGTGCAAGTCAATAATCAGCCACAGGCTCTTTTGCACATTCCACATAATGTCAGTGATGGAGAGTGGCATTCAGTGGAGGTAACCTTGGCAAGAGCTGTTATCCTAAATTTGCTTGACAGCTCTTGCGTAGAATCATGTCTCAATAAAACGTCTGCTAAGATAGACAGCAATCCTGCGACGCTTGCATTTCACAGCACGTTTCTGGGCGGCTTACCAGCGGGGAACGTTAGCAGCAACTCTCTGCCTAACACCTATACTATACATTCTGCACCTTCATTTGTAGGCTGTCTTCAGGATATTGAAATAGACTTGAACGTTATTACTCCAGAGAATGTGTCGTCCGAGTCATCTTTAAATGTCAGGACAGGATGTGCTAAAAAGGACTGGTGTGACACCCACCCTTGTCAGAACAGGGGACGCTGCACCAACCTGTGGCTGAGCTACCACTGCGACTGCTACCGGCCCTACACAGGGCCAGACTGTGCAACAGGTAAGGGAGGGCTGCTGACATTTGTGTTTTAAGCGGGTGCTGAAACTGTTTAGCTGGTGATGAAATGGCACGACTCTTAGGATCTCTGGAACCTGATGTAGACCAGTAAGAAAGTGCAAGAGGTTAGTAGTAGCACACCTTTGCCCTTCTCTTTCCCAGGAAGGTTGCTTTTCAGCCTGGAAAAAAAAGAAAAAAAAGTCAGGCTAAACTGGTGGATTCCACTCATCTTGTTTTAAAATCTTCTTAGTGATCTTAGCACTCCATAAACTCTGAAAAACTGTAGTTCACCAGAGGTTATCCATGCTCAGTAAAATTTAGAAAGCAACCAAGTCACTTGGAGCTTAAGACTTACTTTCAAAGCATTCTTTGAAAATTTTTATCCTCAAGCTCTCTAGGCTTTTATAAAGAGACTCATTTAAGGCAATGAAAGGCAAACAAAAGTACCGCAAGTTAAAAAAAGACAGATTCCAATTTTAAAAAATTAATGAGATTATACTATTAGCTTAATCTGATTAGCCCAAGGAGCAGGCAGGGCTTCAGTGGCTGGAGACAGGGACCATTCATCTCTCAGCTGTCCCAAGGCAGTGCTGGACAATCAGTAGTGCAGGCGGCGATTCCCAGGGAGCTGCACTGGGACCGGAGGGAAACGTGTCCATGTGAGAGGGAACAGAAGAGCACATCTCAGCAAACAGCCTCTGTGGCAGTGATGGGTAGGGAACACAAAAGCTGTAGGTGCCTGTAGCACTTTCACTGCTACAAATGATCTTTCCAAGTGCAGGCTGAGACAAAGTGGAAGGACAACAGGAGGTCCCTGCCTGTGCTGCATCTGGTGGGGGAAGCCCTCTGGAGCTGTAAACGCAGCAACCCTCAGGAACACTTTGGGGTGAACTCTGCAATTCTTCTTCAGATAAAGTTTTAGGAGTTTCAAGCAAGTGGTTTTGTTTAAGAAAATTGTGCAGGACCCTTCCATGCAGCGCCCTTGCTGCTGCTCCCCCCTGTCCCCTTACTAACCACCCACACGTGGTCAGCAGAGCAAGGTTTGGGGAGCAGGGAATACACACGCACATACATGTGTGTATATGTGTATATGTACACACACACACGTACCTATATTTATGTAGATACATTTGGCAAGTGGACTGGGAAAAATTAAGCACAACAGCAGTGCCATGGTCAGATTGGAATGGACAGATCCTAAACTGGTGTAAAGTGGCGTGGCTGCGGTGCCGCCAGTGAAGCTACACTGATTTACATCAGCTGAACAACTGGCCTCAGGGGCTTACTGAATGCATTGCTGCAGAAAGCTGTGGCTCCAAATATGTTTCAAAATGTTTAAATACAATTTAATTTTGTATGCTATACCTAATACTTATCAATACCTTTCAATAGTTTTTCTTTTTGGCTTTATTGCGAAATGACAAAGTCTGAGAGGTAATTGTAACAGACTTCTTTGAAGTCTAGCTGTAATTTATCCAAAGATTTGGAAGGCAACTTTGGAGTATAGGACAACATCTGGTAAATATGTTTGCCTCCTTATATGAAGCAAAATTAAAACCAGTCAGGGCCAGGAGTGGCTTATGCTGGCATTAGAACTGTTGAGAATGGTTAGAAAGCAATGCTTTTTTTTTTTTTTTCCTGCTGACCACAATATTCCTTGCTAATCATGGCACTGTGCCATTTTGATACGTGGGTTCTAGATATATGCCATATTTAAAAGACTATGGCAGGTTTCTTAAAAGGCAGAGTGGGTGAGACTTGTGGTAAAGGATAACATAAGAAATGCTGGTGTCTTTCTGAAGAAAAGTTGCTGCCAAGTATTTAATTGACAAGAGGCAATATTTTCTCTACATATACAAAATAACAAACAGATGTAGACTCATTTTGATCAACATCCAGATGTTGTGACCCAAGAGGTTAATATTGACCAAGGTGATGCCAGTCATCTCATCAAACAGATTAGATTGATGATATATGTGATATGATGTTTATAAATAGAGAGAAATGAAACAAAGTCATTGTAAACATGAAATACCTTTTTGAAGATTAATGGTTCTTTCTAATATTGCAGTTGTGGAATCCTCATTCCAGCAGAAATTTTCTTTTTACCTGCATGAAAAAATGTTTCAGTCTCTAGTACCACCTTACAGAGAACATATAACTTAAACTGACTTAATGCCTCAAAACACCAATTTCAACATGTATTTATTTCTACAGAGAAGAGTTCTAATAAGCAGATGTAGATATATAGGAAACGTTATCCATGGAAATAAACTAGTTTGAATTTAATTATGAAAATGTCTGTTTAGGAGCAAGTTAGGATTTATTCCTGTTGCTAAATAATGTGATCATACCACATAGTAGTGCAGTGTGGTCATTAAGGGTCTGTTGGAGATTCATGGTCAGTCCCTATTTTCACTGGTTTTTTTAATGTAGTCACAATAAAAAGTAGTGCTGCAGGCACAAAGTTGGCCTATGAGATCTCACCCTAGGAGTTTTACTGCACAACAGAGGACTGAATCTTTAGCTATGTGAGCATCTAAAAACAAAAGCTGGGTTTATTCTTTCTATGAATTTGATATATTAAAAATACCTCTTGAAATTGTTTAGGCAGGAAGTCTATAATATTGAGGACAAGATCACAAAACAGTGCAAAAATAGAAACTCTTTGTTGTTTTTTAATGAGATGATTCATCAGAATAAAATACAGTTTTGGCTACATATTTTTTATCCTTACAAGTCTGAAAATCATTACTAAAAATAAGGAGTAAGGGAGAGAGACAGATGGTTTTGGTTTAATAATTTTAATTGATAAGCACAAAAAAAAAAAAAAAAAAGCTTACTTGATGTAGGATCATTTTTCCACCGTGACACCACAGCACCACAGGCACTCACAGGACTTAGCAGGATTCAGAAGTCGATACAAGGTGATGCATATGAGCACATCTTGAGCCTCAGGAACAAAAATTCTGGTAGAGAACAAGGGAGCCCATGCCCACATAGGTGCCTTATTTATGCAAGAGGAGTTTGATGATCAGCTTTCTGCAGTTGGAATCTGTGCAAAAAAAATCACAAAATTACAGAATTACAGTAACTTCCATGGTCATCAGAGGATCAAAGCAGCTAGGTTCTTTCCAAGATGATCTTTCTGAGGACAAATCCAGGAAACTATAGAAATCTGTCCTTGTTTAACCACTTGAAAACACAGCATTACACAGCACATGATAAAGGGGAAAAATATGCCCAGTAATATAACATCTGGTCCTGTACTGGGGCTCAATGTTAGGGCCATGGAAGTCAAGAGGAATTCTCAAATAGAAGTTATTTACAGCTGGATCAAGTCTTTATTCATCCATAAATACAAGCACATCTTACTACCATACGTAAATATTACTAAAAGTAGTTATTTGATCATCGCATTGGTCCCCTTGTCGTTTAGCCATAACTATTTTATTTTTCTCTTTTTTTTTTTGGTCCCTCCCATATCTCTAACCTCAAGAGTACATTCCAGGCCGGTTTGGATCTGAGGACTCCTCAGGCTATGCTGCTTTTTCCGTTGATGCCACTCAGAATGAGAACTTCATCATATCAATGTTTGTCCGAACACGCAAGGCTTCTGGATTGCTGCTGGCTTTGAGAAACAGTACTTACCTCTACGTAAGAGTCTATTTGGAAGGTGGGAAACTCACAATGTCAGCCCTAAATTCCATTAAGTTATTAGGAAAACACTTTGTGAACGATGGAAACTTTTACTTAATAACATTAAAAATAGAACCAAATAAGATGGAACTGTTCCAGTCCTCTCACTACCTAGGCTTTATATCTACTCCACTACTAACCATCCAAAGCAAGGATATTCTTTACATTGGAGGCCTACCAGATAACAAAGAAACTGATAGAAACGGCAGGTATTTCAAAGGCTGTATCCAAGATGTAAGAGTGAATAACCAGCCACTGGAATTCTTTCCCATCACCAATCCACTGAATTCTCTTATCAACCGAACCCTTATTAATGTCACCCAAGGCTGCACTGGTGACAACCTCTGCAAGGTAAGAATGACATTTTTCAGAGAATTTTCACATATTTATAATGGG